GGGGAAGCAAAAGAAATACCTCGAGGAAAAAACAGGAAAATTTTTCGAAATCAATCAATGTAGAGGTCAGTCGGCTTCAATTTGCTTTTTGAAAGGTCTCCGTACGACTATTGGTTACCGAGATATAGATGGTTGAATGAAAAATTCCACTTTTGTCTTTAATCATCGATATCTCAGCAACAAATTATTACTCAGTAAATTCAAGGGCGGCTCTGAAAATTTGAATAAATATCCTACAAGGACCTATCATGGTTTTTAAAGAATTTTTTTCATCCTTAGTTTGAAAAAAAAGTGCGAAAAAATGACTTTTTACGGTATTTCTGAAAATATACCGCTAATTTACAAATATTGAACAACTAATGTTGAAAAAATTTTTTATAGCTGTACCTACCCACAAGAATTTTGTAAATTGATAAGTTGACCCATCCAAGCGTTTTTATGTTCCAAATCATCAAAGTTTTGAAAAGAAATCACTAAAAAATTTATGAAATATTGTTGTTCCTTTAATATTTTCCAGTAGTGTATCCTATGGATTATATAATTCATTAGAAATTTAGCCAATAGCAATTACAAATTTTACATAGTTACTATGTATTGATAAGCGATTATACTCTTGACGACGTGGTATAACCGTTTTGGTGTTTCGCCTCCTCCAACAATGTGAACTATGTCATGGTAACGATAGTTTTAACATTTGTCAATAAACGTCAAAAAAAAATGGAACGCTTCGGTTCAAGCTCTGAATTGGAAATCAAATGAATTATATAATCGTATCGAATACCACTCGAGCAAACGAAAATATTCGATTATACTAACCTCCTCACTCGACGTATATCCTTAAAACACCACTCCAGCTACGCTGTCGTGGTGTTTCGCAGAATACGTCTCGTGACTCGGAAGTATAATCGAATATTTTCTATGCTCTTGTGATATTATGACTGATAATACATAATAAATTATCATTTAGCTTTAGGTAGGTAGGTAGATACTCAGCAGCAAATCGACATCATACCATCATGATGTAACCAGAGGATCAGTCCAAAATATCCATGGATTCTTTATATTATATAAAAATCTTAATAACTACCAAGCGTAAATGTCTTTAGAACTAGGAATTAATTCCCTGCATTGGTGTCACTGACTTAAACAGAACTAAAAAGTGCTCATTACCGTCCTGACTGCAATCTCTAACAGCAGAATGACTTAGCTGTTAAGCAGTGCTTTTAAAACTTTTTTACCCATTTGAAGAAAGTCGCAATACGGAAATCATTGGCAATCTTTAAGTATAGTTTTAATCTAGGCTACCAAAACTCGAAACTTGCTTTTCAACTAGAGTTAAATATAAATTTCAGTTTCTGGTGTACTGCATCGAAAAGAAGAAAACGCCGGCTTATTGTTTCCCAATAAACCTTTCAATTCGCTCTCGGAGGCAGCGCGGCGATCGCATTGTTCATCTCCGACGGCGGGCGCCGCGCCGTCCCCGCGACTGCACCGGTAACGCGCGGACCTAAAAACCGGCGGCCAACAAAGGCCGCAGAATAAACTTTTCATATTTCATTTAATAACAAACTAACAGAGTTATCTGAACTCCTCGCGAACAGGATGGGTTTTTAAGATAAAATCTCTTCGCCAGAGTGAAACACAATAGACAATGGCCCCAACTTTCTTGTAGCGGATGGAAAACCGGTAAGGGAACGAGGCGGCGGGAGGGAGCGGGGTAAAAATGTAGACGTTATTGCATTCCTCTTTATGAGCGATAATTAATATCTGGAGTCCTTATTTATGGCGGTTTGTCGGGGCCCCCGTTTGTTTCTGCGCGGCGTAATCGCCGCCATAATGGTGACGCATTATACCGGGTTTTTGTGCCCAGACTTGGCGCATTGTTCCCCAGGTAAGCGGGAGGTGTTCTGCGTTTGACTATATCGTATCGAGTCCCGCTCCTGTCACTCCACGATAAATAGCTTTATAAATTAAACCTCTTCCACAGACACTGAAAAAATAGTCCCCACTTCTTCGGTTTACAAAGCGAGTCAATTAGAATCTTGTTAAATTTAATGGGTATTGTTCGCCGAAGAAAAGCATAAAATGAGGAAAAAAAAACAATTGTTCTTAAATTTTCTAGAGCGTCAAATACCCGCCTACGAAAAAATTAAATAAGACTGAAATTGAAACGAAGTAATGGGTTCATTTAGCGTATTTTCTTTAATTCATATTGAAAAAGTATATATCATGGTTAGTTAATATCCAAAAAATCAAATTTCTCCTTCAAAATAATTAATGAAAAAGGAGCGCGGGAAAACGCACCGAAGCCATGTTGTGACGTCATACCGTTCATTAAAGGCTAGACTACATACTTGGCTGTGTACCACATACATCACATGATATCTCTAGCTATGGAAGCAGACAAAAACAAATAAAAATTATCAAATTTAATAAAACAAGAAACGCCATTAGAAATTTTGATAACGGAAAAAAATTGATTTTTCGAAACGTTAACTATAATATGTAATTATTGTAGACCCTGGTATAAAGAGGGAATAAGTGGCAATTTGTAATTTGTCATATCATATGGCTAAGTATAATATTCGAATGTAACAGTCCACAGTACAGGCCCCCTCTGGAAAGTTGATTACCACATACTTTATAACTCGTGAGGAGCTTCGTTTTGACGAGTCTACCACACTTTTCCTCTGCGACTTTTCTCGATTCCTCCGCTTTTCCACTCGGAAAAGTCCAAAAACATGGCAATTTCCCGGGGTCTTGAAAAGTCGCAGAGGAAAAATGTGGTAGACTCATCAAAACGAA